ATAAAATAAAATAACAAGAACTGTAATAATAACCCTGCGTTAACTAGTATTTATATACAGTGGTCAAAAACATAAAATAAATATAATTATTTTTATTATTATTAATATTAATAATAAAAACAACTTAATTCCAGAAACAGAAAAGTAATTTTAACCTTATATTATGTTTAGAAATTAAATTAAAAGCTAAAAGGCAAAATATAAAAACAATAAAATAATATTGAGGGGAAAAAATTAACATTTTTTAGCACAATATTAGTAACAATATAAATTATATATAAAATATAATCAGAACTGTAACAACCCTGCTTTAACTAGCAATTATATATAGTGGTAATAAATATAACAAATAACTTCATAAAATGAAATAATTATCATTTATATTAATAATAAGAACAACAATAAATGTCAAATTAATAAAAATGAATTAATAAATATAAAAATATATATATTTGGGTAAATCATTTCTTGCATTATCTGCAAATAAAGTACTTTTGTTTGTACTTTTCCATGTTTTTATCTAGAAGTTTTATATATTGCTCTAAATTTAAATAAATAAAAAATTCAGAAACAATTTTAGCCTTTTTTTTTAGTTTTATTAAATATTAAAATAATTATGATTTTAAATTTGAATAGGGTAATAACAAACAAATAATGAATTAATAATGAATTTCAATGTCTATATGCGTGTGTATACAGTGTGTATATACATATATATATATATATATATATATATATATATATATATATATATATATATATAAAATATATATAAAATATATAAATAAAATATATATAAAATATATAAATAAAATATAAATAAAATATATAAATAAAACATATATAAAATATATATAAAATATATAAATAAAATATAAATAAAATATATAAATAAAACATATATAAAATATATAAATAAAATATATATAAATATTTATATATTTATCACACACACACACACAGTATACAAACATACACAACTATACACACACACACACACACACACACACACACACACACACACACACACACACACACGTATATATATATATATATGGTTACTTTTTTTTTCATTATGAAACTAGATTCCTTATATGTAAAGTGTATGTGTAAAATATCTGAGAATACCATGATATTTAACCTCGTGTCGCTCACTGCAGACAGTTTTCTGAATGGGTTTTACTTTCCAAGCTAAAGTGCTGCAGAAGGCCAGCGATCCACAACACTATAGCTAACTGGCATTGCAGCTGTCTTCAGCTCACTCTCTGTAAAAGCACGCCGTAATATCAGTAATGACATTTTATCGAGATGCGCCTGTGTTTACACTGACCTCATCCAGATAACCGTCATCATATCCGTCTGTATTACTTTATCTAATATCACCCAAACACATGTGATCAAAACAGAGTATACAGCAGGGTGTGAATTACAGACGCTGGCCCTCTTTTTATTAAGGCTTGATACCCCCTGAAAGATGTCAAAACAAGATGTATGGGAGCTCAGCCTTTTGAAACTGGGAAAAAAAGTTCACTCTGATCTGTATTTTAAATGATATTGTTAATAATTAAAGTAATAGACAACCATCTGACCGGCCTTAAAACGGTTCATACCACTGTGAATGCATAATCAAGCCAGTCGGTCCATGCGAGAAAGTCTGAAACTGGCAGATCTAGAGCACTGATAGACACAGAGTTCACAAGACGTGGCGATAACCACATTTTCTCATTAAACAGGTGTTTGTTTCAACAAATTGCCTACAAGTTTTGCATAGTGTCCTAAAGTAAGCCGACAGAGCTAATCCGGTTTGATAGTCCCCCCTTGTCACCTTCTCAGTTAGTTTGAGTTCACACTGTTTGTTTTTTCTCCTTCTGAACCCCTGTACGCTTGCGTCATCCAGCTGCTGTTGTGTGTACGGCTGTTGTTACTGTAGGTGACGGACACAAAAGCAAAGCAGCAAAATGGAAAGACCTCCGCACTCCGCACATCATAATTTCTTGCACAGACTGATCGTTTTGCTTCACAAGAGCTCAGTGTGTCATCAGGAGACACGGCTATTGATTTGGACTCGTTTGTTTGCGTTTATTTTTTTATCTAAAGCCTGTCACCATTCACTGCCATTATAAAATTCACCAAACATCACAGATTCAGCTCAAAAACTTCTTTAATGTCCTACTAAAGAAAGTGAGTAAATCATAAGGACATGATCATTTTTGTGTGAACTAACCCTTAAACGTCCCGACAGAACAGTGAAGCTGCTGTCCTCATCATCACGTTTCTTACATCTGCAAAACTGTCTGTTTCTTCTCTGTCTGAGTGAAATCAGATCTGCAGCGCTTCTCCACACACTTAAAGCGAGCGGCGACCCCATTAAACACACTGAAGGAAGATCAATGCAAAGTGTTTTTGACCAGAGAAAGCCGAGTCCAGAGCTACAGTAACTGAGGCTTCATTCTGAGCAACGCAAACAAACTACGTCTAGGAGAGTTACATTACAGCTGACATTATATAATTAATATTAATAATAATAAATAAATACAAAATTAAATCAAATTTTGGAGAATAAAAAAAACAAGTAAAAATTAGCCTTGATATTAATTATAGTTATTACTAAAATGAAAAAAATAATAATAATTAAATAAAATCCAGAATAGTAACATTAATTTTAATCTTATTTCTAAACTTAGTTTCTGAATTTTATTTTATGACCACTATATAACTACAAAGTTTTTTTTTTTTTTCTCTTGTAATCATTTACACTTACTGGCCACTTTATTAGGTACTAGTACAGAGTTGGACCCTGTTTTGCCTTCAGAACTGCTTTAATCCTTCATGGCATAGATTCAACAAGCTACTGGAAATATTCCTCAGAGATTTTGCCCCATATTGACATGATAGCATCACGCAGTTGCTGCAGATTTGTCGGCTGCACATCCATGATGCCAATCTCCCGTTCCACCACATCCTAAAGCTGCTCTATTGGATTGAGATCTGGAGACTGTGGAGGCCATTTTAGTACAGTGAACTCATTGTCATGTTTAAGAAACCAGTCTGAAATGATTGGTGCTTTACGACATGGTGTGTTATCCTGCTGGAAGTAGCCATCAGAAGATGAGTACACTGTGGTCAAAGGGATGGACATGGTCTGCAACAATTCTCAGGTAGGCTGTGGTGTTGACACCATGCTCAGTTGGTACTAATGGACCCAAAGTGTGCCAAGAAAATCTCCCCCACACCATTACACCACCACCACCAGCCTGAACCGTTGATACAAGGCAGGATGGAGCCATCCTTCATGCTGTTGAGGCCTAATTCTGACCCGAGCATCCGAATGTGTCAGCAGAAATGGAGACTCAGAGCAGCAACGTTTCTCCAATCTTCTATTGTCCAGTTTTGGTGAGTCTGTGTGAATTGTAGCCTCAGTTTCCTGTTCTTAGCTGACAGGAGCGGCACCCAATGTGCTCTTCTGCTGCTGTAGCCCATCCGCCTCAAGGTTGGACGTGTTGTGTGTTCAGAGACGCTCTTCTGCAGAGCTAGGTTGTAACGAGTGCTTATTTGAGTTACTGTTGCCTTTCTATCAGCTGGAACCAGTCTGGCCATTCTCCTGACATTAACAAGGCACCCACAGAACTGCAGCTCACTAGATATTTCCTTTGTAAACCCGAGAGATGTTTGTGCGTGAAAATCCCAGTAGATCAGCAGTTTCTGAAATACTCAGAGCAACCCATCTGGCACCAGCAACCATGCCATGTTCAAAGTCACTTAAATCTCCTTTCTTCCACATTCTGATGCTCGCTTTAAACTGCAGCAGATCGTCTTGATCATGTCTACATGCCTAAATGCATTGAGTTGCTGCCATGTGATTGGCTGATTAGAAATTTGCGTTAAGCGGTTGGACAGGTGTACCTAATAAAGTGGCCAGTGAGTATATAGTGTCAAAAAAAAAATCATACATGCGCAAAATAAAAGTATAAAAACTATATAATTAAATTAAAACCAGAGTAGTTTTAATCAGATTCTGAAACCTAGTAATTATAGTGGTCATAAAAAAAATTAATAAAAAAAATAAAAACAATAGTTTTAAACCTTTTTCTAAATTTAGCCATTAAAAATAAAATTTGATAAGAAAAAAAAAAAAGTGTATAGACGGTAGCAATTATAAAAATATTTAAATAAACAACAACAATAATAATAAAAACTAAATATATCAAATTAAAATCAACTATAGGCTACTGTAACACAATATTAAATAAAGTAAATAAATTGGTAATTAAATAAAATATCAACCAAGTAAACAATGGTAAGTAAATAAAAAACCCAAGTAAATATAATAGTAATTAAATAACAACCACCATGTAAATATAATGGTAATTAAACGAAATGTGATTAAATTTATATTAAATTAAAAGAAAATTTAAATCTAGCATAAGTTTATCAAGCTTTTGTATTTGCTAATTATATATATATATATATATATATATATATATATATATATATATATATATATATATATATATATATATATATATATATATATATATATATATATATAGCTATAAACACAGACAGATAGACAGACAGACAGAGAGATAGATAAATAATACAACGAACATTATAATAATAATAATATGAAATGACATAATTAAAGGGATATCCCTAATCAAGATCGATTATTAAAAAAAATATACAGGAATTCCAGTTTCCTCATGGAGAGATCGCAGAGGAGTTTCTGTGCAAGATCATTACTACACTGGCAGCAAATAAAGACTGGAAGCCCATCATTTCTTCACGACAATGACATTAACCCAACACAGGCTATATTTAAAAGCACTGAAAACTTCTCCTGCGCCACAAACATCCACATCATCGCCAACATCCATGAAACAGCGGCGATGGATTCATAAAAACGACACGATATTCCAGTCTGAAATGCGCCAAAGACTTGACGGTGAAGTTGAGCAGATGAGAAACACGCACGCACTCACACACGCACACACACTGACCCTTCTGCTGCTTGAAGGACTGTATGGACCCGGAGTGATGCACCATGATGATTCCCGACAGAGATCCAGGCGTCCAGCAGAAGATGAAGGCAGGAGACATGGGGAAGCGCGGAGCGATGGCGCCGCTGTTTCTCCTCCGCAGCCCCGCTCCGGTCTACCCGCGCGCGCCAACGGCCGGGGCTGTAGTCATGGTGACGGGCACGAAGAGGACGTACCGACACCGTTGAGGATATCGACGCGTTTGAGGCGCGTTTACTCGCGGGACGCGCGTCCTTGCGCTCGTTTTAACTGGACACGCGCACTACACATGCGTCAGAGAGGCTGTTAATTCTCAGCTATGCTCAGCGATTAAAGGCTCAGTCAAATCAAAATTTGCGATGTTTATTTTACTAGCACGCATTCTTATATATTATTTAACCTGTGCAAGTTAAGCTTCTGGGAAAATAAAAGTTTGTTTTGGTAATCTTCAATCAAAGCCTGAGCATCTGCTCTTGGAGTGGCAACCTTCCCTTGAGAATTCAGCCACAATATTCTTAGCCACGCCCTTAACGCCCCGCCCCCTACTTAGTATTCCAGTAAAGTATATCAACAAATGCTGCTTCCAAAGTCTCTTACTTGAGAATGTACTACATTTGAATTTACTTGATGACTAAATCACAACACTAGTATGTTCTACATCAGGGATCACCACACTTGTTCCTGGGGGTCCGGCGTCCTGCAGATTTGAGCTCCAACCCTAATCAAACACACCTGAACAAAGCTATCCAAGGTCTTAGGTATACTTGATACACCCGGGCAGGTGTGTTGAGGCAAGTTGGAGCTAAACCCTGCAGGCCACCGGATATCCAAGAACGAGATTGGTGACCCCTGTTCCATACTGACCTTATTCTTCACGCATACAGTACTTCTCGCATACTGTTTCAAGAGTTCACACTTAGCTGATGCTTCATCAAAGCTTGTTTGGCATGCTGTCCTGGGAGAGAGCCCCGAGCTCAAGGGATCCTCGAGCCCGGGGTTTCCCCCAGTTCGCAGAGCTAGAGAGGAGCCTGAGCTCGATGGATCTCAGAACTCCCCGGCTGCGGTAGCTAAGGAAACACGTGAGAAGGGGGGCTAGACAAGTGCTTGATTGTTATGCATGATGTATATCTATAGACGGTAGGAGGAAACCGGAGAACCCGGGGAAAACCCACGCGGACACGAAGAGAATATACAAACTCCTTACAGAAACGCATACCGGCTAGGCGGAACCAGGGCCGGTAGTGTTCTTGCTGTGGGGCTCACAGTGCTAACCACTGGGCCGCCGTGCCAGCCGATCAATGGTAAAGGAGGAGAATTAAGGAGGAAGGGGGGTTTCTTCTAAACAAAGATAGTGGACTGAAAACTGTGGTTCTTTATAGTAGTTTAGGGCTCATGTAATTGGAAGATAATGATTAGCTAATACGAGACCGGCCGTGATAAATCATAAGCACGTGATCCTCTCGAAATTAGTTTATGAATAAACTTCATTTATTTCTTTTTTTAAATCAGACACTACTCGGCTTAAACACTGTTTTTAATGTACTATGCCATTTCAGATGCAGCCAACAGGAGAGTGCGGGGCACAGAGTAACGCAGAGTGAAATGTAACAGAGTTTTAAGGTATTTGCTCAGGGTTAACTATGGATCAGATCAAAAGAAAGAAATGGAGGATAAAATTGGGGTGACAAGATCATATTTTCCAGACCTGGTAAGAACTCTGAAGTTTGTTAGAGGATGCTGGGCAGCCAGCGAAGAGAGCATTACAGTAATCCAGCCTAGAGGTCATAATAGCATGAGCTTTTCTGCATCTGAGATGGATAGCATACTTAGCGATATTTCTCAGATGGAAGGCGGGAGTTTGTGACGTGAGAGATTTGATTTTCAAAAGTTAAGCTGCTGTCTAATATGACACCCAGACCTTTCACAGTAGAGCTAATACTTGCTTTGTATCCCTCTAACTGCAGGCTGAGTTGTGACATCTGCTGTCTACAGGATTTAGGCTCAATAAGTAATACTTCTGTTTTGTCTGAATTTAAGAGAAGGAAATTGTTGGTCATCCAGTCTTTAACTTCAATACACTCAGTTAGCTTGCACTTTAAAAAATAACTGCAGAGATCTGTTACCACTACATAGTTTAACACATTATTGTAACTTAAAATTCTAAAATGTTGATTAGATTAAAACTTAAGTTGCCAGAATAATTTATTAAGTTTTCAAAACAGGAAAATATTGATAATTACATCAATTTAAAAAGGTAAATATATCTGTCAGTTGCTTTAAAACAATATTTACTTTTAGCAACCCAAAGAAATGAGGTTAATAAGTCACACTAATGGAGTTCTTTTGTATTTAAGTCCACACACTAATGTTATTTGTTATTTTTTACAATGATAATATGGGATAGTACATGTTTTTGTTTTGTATAACAATGAAAACCTGTGGTTTAATACAAATAAAAATCTACCGAAAAACAAAATGTTAAATGTATTTCAGTAAATTTGAAAACAAACTAAAGATTTCGCAATTTCGCCTACTTAATTTGAGCTTCTAAACTTGAAACTGTGCATGTAATTAAGTGCATAACACTGGATTTGTTTTCAATTTTAAAATAAAAAACTAGTTGAAGCAACATTTGAGTACTCAACTTTTAGATTTGAGGTTTTTGCCATGTAAAAAGGCTGATTGAAGAGGAAAATCATTGGCTAACATAACCTTTGTTGTCTGAAGCTCATTTTGTTAGATGTTGTCATAACTTCAATGTATTAATGCAAACTGTTGCCTTAATTTTTTTTGTTTTGTCTAAACAATATTTTTTAGAGTGTGGGCAGTTCCGAAAGAAAATGTATGGCGCAGTGGGTAGTACGATCGCCTCGCAGCAAGGTCGCTGGTTCGAGCCTCTGCTGTGTCAGTTGGCATTTCTGTGTAGAGTTTGCATTTTCTCCCTGTGTCGGTGTGGGTGTGCTCCGTTTTCCCCCACAGTCCAAGCACATGCGCTGTAGGGGAATTGAGTAGCTAAATTGTCCGTAGTGTATGAGTGTCAGAGTGTGTATGGGTGTTTCCCAGTGATGAGTTGCAGCTGGAAGGGCATTTGCCATGTAAAACATGCTGGATAAACTGGCGGTTCATTCCACTGTGGCGACCCCTGATTAATAAATATTATAAATATTATAGGGAATACTGTGAACATTTCTTGATCTGTTAATCATTTTTTAGGAAATATTTAAAGAAGAAAAAATTATAATAAGTGACTCCAACTGTACTTCAGCCTAATTTCTCATTCCCTATGTGCTGTGTATCAGAACTGCAGTGGTTAAAGATGGATGATTGTCAGCCTGGGCTCAGCAGTGCAAAGCTCAGTCCAAAAGACAGCTGCTCTCATTAAAAGTCATTCATTCAAGCCGCTGCTCCCTCAAAGCCCATGAGCGCCGTGAACACAATGAAGCTGTCTGAAACTGACATGTTATTTCAGACCTGGGTTTGGGTTCAGAAGCAAGTGCATGCATGTGTTGGATGCGCAGACAGTGAAAGGCAAACCTTAGAGACGCAGATTTTCTCAATGCAAATGTCTCACATCCAACGCAGGATCGCACTCAGAAAAACAGCCAGACAGCGCTGGGTTAAAAAAAAAAAAAGTGTAAGAAATCAATATCCATTCAGGTTAGTGCTGACACTTCAACCATGAGTGACAAATGACAGAGACATTTGCTGAGACGCGCAAAAACGCAGGCAATCATACGAGATTTCACAGAAATTCAGCTGCGCTTGGATGAAGATGGAGGATTTCGGCCACACAGAGCGCTGATGATTATTTACACTCATATTAATAAACAAGACTCTACAAAAAAGATGGTCCATTAAAGTGTTTTTGCACATAGTAATAGTTCATCATCCTGAAGAATAGGGGCGATATGGCAAAAAATGCAATGTCAATTCATTATTTCCCATATTGAACAATACCGATATACATTCAATTAAGCTCATCTTTATTCCTTTAGCACTTTTACAATGTAGACTGTCAAATAGGGCTGCACGATTCCGGCTAAAATGAAAATCATGATTTAGTTTTTTTACTTAAAATCAAGATCACTATTTTCTCACCATTCTGTACATAGTTATTTATTTAACCCAATGGTTGAGTTTGTTGGGTAATTTTTAACCTTTATTATGTTGTTTATGAATAACTCAACCAGTTGGGTTAAAAATGTGAATTTCCACTAAACAGTTTATACAACTAGAAGATTTAAGTGACACAACAGCTGTATTAATATGCATGTGTAATGTTGTTTTTGCGTAATTAAGATAATTTAAGCTATAGCACAATAATATTGTTGAATTACCACTCTGTGCTGTGTTTTTATATCCGTTTATCATCCAGGAATACCCGTATACCCTCTTGTTTTTCCCGGGATTCTCCTGTATTTTACAGTTCTATCATACTTTAAGTCAACATTGGGATGTGAAAATAAGGGATATGCCCACCATAATGCTGTGTTCACACCAGATGCGAAACGTGCAAATAAAAAAAATAAAATAAAATAAATAAATAAAATTGCGCTATTCGCGCATAAATAGCCGCGTGAACATTTGAGTTTACTCGCTTCATTCGTGCATCAACCCCCGTTTCATTTGCGAGTCAAATTCACTTCAGAACAGATGCGGATTCGCGCTTCTGTCTGCCCGGCGACTCTAGCTTCATTGCTAAAGGGCTGACATGGATTTTATTAAGAAAATAAGTGTTTAGGTGTTTTATGAAGGCTTAAAAACAGTGTCGATACATTTAGGGCTGTGTCTGAGTTCACTAGATCCTTTCAGCGGTGCATCCAGCTCTGTGAGCTCAATTTTTTCCAGAAACTTCTGACCAGCCAAGCCCAGTTTGAAGCACTGTTGTCGTGTCGGATTTCCCCCCGGGACACCAACAATAGGCGTACGTCACAATAACGCCCCCACAAGAGCAAGATCCTGATTGGTTAACGCGGCGAGAATGTCTGCTTAAAGTTCAGATTTGTGAACTCGTGCATTTCGCGCGTTAAGTGCGTCAGACGCGCAAAACGCTCAATTTGTCGCGTCATTAGCGGGGCGCCATTCGCGCATATCGCACCGCAGGATGTCTATTCGCGTGTTTGCATAGACTTAACATGTAAATCACTTGCGCTTGATGCGCGTTCCGCAGCATAAGGTGACTCCCCTTAAAAAAAAAAAATCCCCAAATTACTAAATATGTTCTTCTGGAGCCGTTTCATTGTAAATAAATACTTAAACGGTCAGTAAATTTTTATTATTATTATTATTATTATTTACAAAAAAAAAAAGTTTACATTAGCAGCAAATATTAGCAAACAGTTTAATTAAAATTAGCTTATTAAAATTAATAGCTTTTATAATGAAATAGAATCAAGCTATCAAATCTTATCCATTTCTTCACTGTATAACTTACACATTATGATTAAAGAGC